AATTAACGTCACAACATAATTTCTGCAATCACTTTTGTTCTCCGATGTTCGCGAGATGGTGTAGGAGGGACCAAGCAAGAACAACAAAGAAGTGATCAAGTGTGACTAAGCACTATCAGTAACGCGTTTAGTTGGAAGCATCTCGTAACCGAGAGAGCTTAATTTTTATCGGCAATAATTATAAGTCATGACAGCGTAAATATGAAAAGGCAGCAATATTCCTCTTCAGGCCTGAATCTGTCCGATTGTTTTGAAGGTTTTAGTATAGTACACCCTTTCATTTGTGGCAACTGATAGCTTTTTTTTATGTTCAAAGAAAAATAAGGTAAATTTGTGCTTTTCGGTTGTATGCACCGCAGGAATTTTTGTCGAAATGAAAGCAAAGTTTCAGGATCAATTCGAAATAGTTGTGCGAATTCGGAAGTTGTCAATGGCCTGACTCTTTCCCATAGGGTAAAGAACGCATACAAAAAAAAATATTTTTGGGTTATTGATATTATAGTTTTGATATATTATTAATATTAATTTTTCCGAAGTACGCTTTGCTCACGAACAAACACTTTTATGGACAATTGTTAATACTAAAGTTAAAAAAAAATGTATCTTGCAAGGCGAACTTCACTTTCTGTAATCTGAGTTCTGCTTGTTTGCCATTGTACCGCAGCGAAATTTTGACAATAAATGTTTTGAGACGTTTTCAGTGGCATCCGTGTTGCCATGAGACTAGGCACTGGGCAGGAGTGAAATTGTCAAGTTTCTTTTTCCCTGCATGAAAACCGATGGAGATGTTGGCACCGATTTCATAGTGCCGGCTACTCCACATAGGTTTTTACATAAAAGAAGCGCAACTGAATATCCAAAGTCGAAACTTAAATTCGGTGTTTCTAGGTTTTCCCGACAGACACAGCCCTTTTCGCCATGTATATATTTTATAGCGGCGTTTTTCGGCGTATACCCATCCAGCGCTAATGATATACACTACCTGTACCAACAGGCCCACGAAGAAAATTTCCTTCATTGCAAGGAAGAAGCACCGCGCATCCAGATTCCTCACTATCGAAGTTGGCAGGATTTTATTGGAACTGCACTCCGTAGACACGTGCAGCAATACGTTTCGGCCTACGGATAGGGATGCGAGGGACGGCGGTTGCTGAGCGTATTGCTGAATTGTTGCTGCGGCAGTCGCTGAGTTGCTGAAGCCCTACTGACCTCTCCTGTTTCGGTGACCGTCCACAAGACGGAGCCTTAAAGCAAAGTCATGGTACGCGGTGCAAATGAATGATACTGTATAGACGTTCGCGAGCGGCCAGACTTTAAACCTAGTCTGGCGGCCGCGGTTAGAAAATGTTTTGTTTTGGCGCCAGTCTGGCAACCGTGGCAACGCCAGCAACGAGAGGGCGGCGCCTAGAAGCTGTACTTGCAGGCGTCTATATATGCGGTCCCTTATAGACCGTTCATTGGTGGGAGCGTGAACTTTTAGGACAAGGCGTTGCATCTTAAATGGAGCGACAACTAGGGGGACGTACTTGATGTGTGTTGCTGGGCCCAATGCCTGGTTAAGCGTTTTCTGTTTTGCTGTCAGTCCTGGGCACTAGACATGGAGTGCCAAGTCGTTTCGTTCGTAGCCGAAGAAACCTGGCTCGCTGTTAAAAATAATTTCGAGGGTGGGTTCAGAATGTTACATATCGGCCAAACGCTTTACCTGTGAGACATAATCACGAGACGACATAGTGCCACTTTTATGCAATTGCGGTCGACGGACGAACGTGGCAGCGGAAATGTCAGCAGTCGCGGCTCAAGACACACACTCTGCTAGTGCTGTATCTTTCAAAACAACAATAACAAAAAGCTTCAATTTCTTGGTTGGCTTTGAACCGTTTCGTGCTTCCGTTACGTTAATAATATGTGTTCCATAAACATATCGGTCGACCGAAGTGCCGCCTCTTAACATCCGCGAGAATTACGTTTGTGGGGAGTCGCTAGTCGCGGACATCGGGAAGAGTTCAATCTCACACCCAGGCTCGGAGTGACCGAAAGCGAGAGCCGGCGATTCTATCACGGATACCCTGTGGCTTCCAACAGCTCCTTGCGTGACCTTGGCCGGAAAAAATAACCAAAAAAGAATATAATAGAGGACGAAATGCCGCGCAAAGTCAACAAGGTCCCCCGAAGGGCTGCATTCCTTCAAGAGCTGTCAGGGATCGAAGCTCGTCCAGCTCGCCTTTACACGAAGAAAATACGCTATACTTCAGTTAACCTTACGAGTGTGCGCAGCGAACGCCATGAGCCAGCCCAGCCAATGCAACCCTGTGAACCCACCGCGAGACTACGCGCCTGAACGCCGCTGTGTCCTACACCTAGGTCACATGACACTCACACGGCATCGGATTGGGTCTGATGAGTCGTAGCGTCCTGTGCGGTCCGTCGCAAGGTGATGCGGAGTCTTGGAACGAGTGCTACGCAACTCTGCGAGAAAAATAAATACCTCTCGGAATATACTGTTAGATGCGCAAAAGGTTCCCAGAAAACGGGGTCCTATATGTTGCCTTTTTGTTCACAGCGAACATCTCGAATGAGCGCGCGCTTCGTGTTCTTGAGTTCGAACAAATAAGAGGCAAACTTGTAGAAAGCAGTTCAACGAATACTTCAAGAAGTTTAAAGGTTCGGGTTAGTTTTTTTATGAGTATTTTCTTTTTTTTTAACAAATCCTTTGTTAAAGTTAAAGTTATGATAACGCTCGAAGGTTACTCTCGAGTTTTGTTCGACCGACATATAGGTCAAAGTCATATCAGCGATGCCATATGACCTTGCTGTCAGGCTGTCACGTGACACCGCGATTTCACGTGCCACCTTAACGTCGAGTGGCATAAAAAACGCACAGTATATGTGTCCAGATCGTTCGCAACATAATTTGTGTGTCTTTGTGGTTATGAAACATCATCAAGACAAGCCTAAAGTTTGTTTAAAGGGGCCTTCCGGAGCGTTCTGCGATGGTCTATTTATGGCGGTAACTCAATCTATGGGCCCTAAGGATCCTAAAAATCATAAAATTACGGTCATGCGCGGCGGATTTCCCTACTAAAATTGCTATCAAAGTCTTCGGCACGCCCCCCTTTCTGAGATGACCCCGGAAAACGGGAGGGGCATCTCTTTACGCGCCAACCAATAGCAAGCGAAGGATTCCGGCGTCACTGCGCGTCACCAACGCGGCCGACCGCCGACCCGCGGAGGAATCTCTCGAACACGCGCGGTCCGTCTTCAAGGAACCCGGACTTCGTGCTCGGCAGTCGTCGTTCGTCGCACCGCACCGTCGCGCTGCTACTGCAATACGCAGTCGCATTCCACAGATGACAAGGAAACGTTTGACTCGTTGACGTTGAAGGATCGCAAAGCTGGCTTCGGAGTCGGGATCCACGGGAAGAAGGAACATGTGTCCCCCAAACGCACGCCTGCAGACGCCCCGGGAAGCAGACGAGCCGACGCGCCGACGCATCACCCCCTAGCAACAAGCTTGCGGGGAGAAAACACAGTTCGCTGGTTTTGGAGCGATAATTACGGACTATGTTTCCCGCACCACAATCGGTTTACGTTTTTCTCAAGCTCTAATTTACAACAAGCTTAAAAAAAGTTGTAATAATAACGTTCGCATTCACCGCGAGATGCAGCATTTCCATTGGTCAAGTTTGAGCGATGGGCAGGGAATGGGGGATTGTCTTCCAAGAGAAAATAGTCCCGATATATTTCTTCTGCCATCTGCTTAATAAACGGTTTTGTAATCTCAAACTTTGTATACATATTAACTTGGACCTACTACACAATATAACAACATAAACGGACGATCGCAGAAAGCTCCGGAGGGGCCCTTTAAGGATTGATGCGAGCCTTCATGCTTTTTGAGCCATGTGTTGAGATATCACCCTAAAAATTAACGTTGAATAGGTCAATAAAAGTGTCACCGGATATGCAACTGAATGGTGAGGTACGATTAAATAGAAGAGGAACATCTCTCGGTTGTTCCTTAGTCAGCGGCTTTTTCTTCTTTTATTAACCGAAGGCGGAAAGCTTTCATGGGGCACGACGTATCCAAGAGGCTAGTCTTGGCCTTTATCAGAGAATTTCTATGTTATTGGAACGGTAGTTAAACTCTAGCTCTTTCTCGCATCCTGTGGCCAAAGTGCTCAGTCCCGACGACCCTAAGAACGCGTCATTGAGCGAAATGTTAAGTGCACAGTTTGTTTTCCATATACCACCCGAGCTAGCACATGTCACAACACAGAGGCCCATTTCAATCACACTGTGCAGTGCAGGCTGCGGTCGTAACGAGTCCGACAGATCGCTCGGGTAGCACATTTCTCTCAGACAGTTGTGAACGAGAAGACGGTGTTTGTTCCCTGCGGAGTGGACATACGCATGATCGAATCATTATCACCCCTGTGACAGAGTAACGGCAAATGCGCCTTCAGTATCGCTGCGTAAAAAGCCTACCAAAGTCTATTGCCCTCCTGCACTAAAAGCCATGTACAACTTTGGCAAAAAAAAAAAAGAAGCGTAACATTCTTTGAGTAAACGCTAAATAAATAGAGACTCCGAATCAATTCGGGTAAAATATTCAGACATAACTCGTCTGAAATTGCTTCAGAGTCAGATGGAGATTCTGCCCGAAGTCAGGAAAACCCTGTGGCCCAGAACGTCCGAGCAGATCTCGCCTCGCGGTTTTTCCATATTACGAAAACTCCAAGGTTTGTTGACAGCTGCTATTTCAGCGACATCTTTTCCAAGCAGGGGCATCCAAGGGCAGGTCCAAACAGCTCCCTGAACGATATTCCGGAAACTTCGCCATCAGCAGCTTAATGACGGGTTGGGCGACCACTCCATCATTTCCCCAGAGGGCGTCGCCAGCAGCGACCCAGTAACCCGGAAAGCTACAAGTAGCAGCAGCCGGAACTTTCTCGCAAGGGACGCATTCAAACATCGCCGTGCTTCGACAACGCGCGCCTACGTCATAACTGGGTCTCACTGGAAGGAGGCCCGTCGGGCGTCCTCGCCAAGTTCCTCTCCGTCATAGACCTCCGCATCGTGAAGGGCAACAGGAACCTTGGGAATCCCAACGCGGTTGCGTCTCCCGCAGCGTCCGGCACCACTTCTTCGTAGCTGGGCGGACCCGCGTCCGGACACCGCCTCTGGACGGGCACGTCATCGGGGTACAACGGCGGCACGAGGTACATCACCTGTGACGTACCGGGACCTGTCCACGAGCTCCGATGGCGACGGCTCGGGATCGGTATGTTTCCGTTGGGGTCACTTCTCAGCGCATTGTCCATGAGCACGGCCTGCGAGTAGCTGGGTGCCAAAGTGAAGTTGTCCGTAATGGACTGTTCCAGTTCTGCGCTGTCCGCCGTGCTGCGCCTGGACAGCTCTACACTCTGCGTGGGCGCGGTGGTCTCTGGGGGCTCGCCGAAGAGCTTGGTGACTTGGTAGTGGACGTGGGCGGTGCGGCAGTCCACGAGCAGTCGGAGCGGCCAGGACAGCAACAGGGCCGAGAAGAGCCAGAAGACCGAGTGGGACACATACCAAGGGAGTCGGTCCGCGAAGGCCACGACGTACTCCTGGAAGTCGGCGCTTACTAAGTCCAGGCCCTCTCGCATCTCCATGTACTCGTCGAAGCGTTCGTTGTCTCGGAAGAAGTCGGAACGCTGGCGCTCAAACGACCGCGCCGCTTCTATGTTGGCGAAGGCGAAGCCCTGCGTAGGCGAGGCAACAGTCAGAGATTATCAACAATCTGAAACACGCTCGTGCTTATTCGGCAAAGACACCAAAGAGAAAAGGACAAATATTTTGACCCCTCTTGAAATATATTTAGTTTTCAGATTGTGCCATACAATTATGTACGTAGAAACATGTGAGGATTCCACCAAATCTGGTGGAGTCTCCCATTGCTGTTGCCAGAATGATGAGGGACTTGGCCAAGTCTGGCAAAATCTCCCGTTATTCTGGCAACGCCACTCGGGATGCTCCATCTGGTCGATACGGCGAGCGTGCCTCCGTCGCTTTACTTTGTTTCATTGCAAGTTTAAAGCTTGACGATGCAGGAACACGCATTAACTAAAGATGCAACCAAATATACACAAACACATACAAAGATGGGAATGCTGATTAATTTGCTCCAAGCTGCATCGAAGTGCCTTGTGCCACACCCTGCTACATTTCACCAAAATGTTAGAAACCTGCGCCAACATAGCGTCGAATGTTAGCGTCGCTTCCTCAATATTGAAACTAAGAGCTCAGGCTCAGGTACAGAAAAATACGATAGGCTTGTGCAAATCACGAAAAGTTTTTATGATCGCTCAGAATTATGTAAAATTTTACTTAACCATCGCACCGAAATCTGGCAGGGCTAGGCGGGGTAGGAAACGCCTTTGAGCGCACTTCTTTCCGCTCATTGTGGTGCTGCGAAGGATTACCCAAGTCAGGTGCTTCGGAAAAGGCGTTCTGCGTTGCGAAGGATTAGGAATAACCACACTAGGACAAGCAAGACAACATGACATTTAGAAAGAGGCACAGACGGTATACACTTGTGCCTGTTTCTGTGTGTCACGTTGTCTTTCTTGTCTCACTGTCCGTATTTGTAATCCTTCGTAGCACAGTTTATCCAAAGCATGAATAACCAAATAGCCTAATCCCATGCACTAAAAGCATTCCTTCTAAATTCTAATTAGGATGGCGCACGTGCACGTTTCAAATACTAAAAAAAAAAAAGCGCTTAGTAAATGGTTTAGGGAGTTAAGGTCACGGACTGATTCGCCGAGTTTTTTTGAAGAAGTTTGGTGTGGAGGACTTCTAAGTACCCGAGAAATTTACTGAAAGAGGGCAAGAGACTCAAGTGGGAGAGGGCAGCCGCGCGCTTTTTGGTTAGGGCAAATGAGGGAAATAGCAAAGGAAACAGCCGGATAAGACTGCTGGATGCATGTTTTGCTCAAGACTTTCCGTGTTCTCTTAATTTATTTCCTTTTCGCAGTTTTTTTCTTCTTCTAGATTTGGTTTTTTAACGAGTACCCGATAACGGAGGCACCATTGCTCGAATATGTATTTTACGAATAACAACCGAATGCCTGAAATAATATTTCAAGAGCTCTCGTGCGCGGGAGCCATCAAGCCGAGCGCAGCTGCCAAGCTTTTATGCGTCAGCGCCTTTTACAAGATTATAAACTCTTTACCATGCAAATAAATGTGTGTGTGTGTTTTTTTTTTTTTTTTTCGTTCGCTGCGACTGCTGATTCTACCCTGACAATGCGGTGGAGGCCATAATCACGGGGAAAAATTTTTCACAGTGGTTGCTACTGTAAACATTAATATAAAATTGTATCAACACGCGAACCGCGGCACACGACAGCATATAAAGTTCCGTTCACACACTTACGTTTGACTACGACCGATTAAGACAAGACTGATTTCAAAGCCTTCTTTGTCGGCTTATACGACCGGCTGCGCTTCTGCGGAGCTGTTCGTAAACCGTCATGAAACGCTTAAAACCCGATTGCCTCAGTCGGTCGTATAGTCAAGTGCAAGCACAGATTGCTCTAACCGGTCGCACAGCCTACTGTTGCGCCCCAAGGTCAGGTCCTGCACCAAAACCAGCATGGCCGCATGACAGGACGCACCATAGAAGGCTCTAGATGACATTCAACATGGCGCTGCCCTCGAAAAACAAAACTGTAGGGGTGTGCGAACATTGGTTCGAATCGAATAGCGCTGCATTACTGATTACATCGTTTTCTTCCCTCGGCTGATTATATCAATTTCGCACACGGTAATCCCAGCAGCGTGACGCCAAATGCCCTCCCGTCTGCCGTTCTTCAGTTACGCCTTCCCGCATTGCAATCCTTCTTGCTGTCCACGCTCTCGGAAGCCCATGCGACCAATAACGCTATCGACGATGGCCGATATCCGGTTTATACACAATTACTGAAGCTAACCGAAGATAAAATCGCCTTTCTTTTATGCCGCATTTTTCGAGCCTCGTTAGAATTATCAGAAATACCAGATGTTTAGAAATCTTCCAAATTTATATTCATTTTTAAATCATGCGATCGAAATAATCCATTCAACTGTGGACCGATCTCGCTTACAAGTATCGCTGTGGCTAGCGTTATGCCCGGAAGGAGCACTGAAACGCGTATACCTAACCCTTCCCCCCGCCCTCCTCCCTCTCCCCCGTGAACCTAGGGAAGGCGGAGATTTGGACGTAACTTGGGTTACGTGGGACGTAACGCTAGACACTTCGTACAAATATTCCCCGTAAAATACTTGAAAACGTCATATACTCTCAAGTCATAAACTATATTAATGATAAGAACCGTTTCTCTCTCCACCAGCACGGTTTCCGTAAAAAAACAAAACAAAACAAAAAGCCTTTTATGCAAAACGCAGTTATTTGAATTTGTGGCTGACTTGCATGACAGCTTTAATGCCTCCTGTACCACTGACGCAATTTTCATCGATTTCGCTGAGGCCTTTGATACTGTCCCTCGTCGAAGATCACTTTTAAAACTTTCCTTACTAAACACAGACAAAAACGTTGTAAGATGGATTTCGTCCTTCATTACTTATCGCGAGCAATCTGTGTATATAAACCCTACCTCCATCTCATTTAATGTAAGTAAAATCCAGTGTATTACAGGGAAGTGTACTGGGGCCCCTACTTTTTCCTCATCTCCATTAATGACTTAGCCCCTATAATTTCGTCATTCGTTTGACTATTTGTCGCTGATTGCGTTATACACCGCCGCATTTCTCACCCCAATGATTCCCAAGTTCTCCAGCGAGACATAAACATTTGGTCGAAAGGTGTCTAACATGGCAAAAGTACATTAATATCACAAAAAAACAACAACAAAAAAAAACAACAAGGCTGTCTCCTCTAATCACACAAAAACGTACGTCCCTTCATATTCTGTCAACTCTTGCAATTTCACCGGTCCCCTCTTACAAGTACATCGGTATTACTTTTACTGACGACCTATCCTGGAATGCGCAATGGAATACTAGAGTTTAAAAAAATCATCTAGAGCTTTTGGCTCTTCAAATGTACTTTTACCAAGCATGACAGGCTGTGAATATTACAGCATACAAAGTTCTCGTCCGATCGAAACTAGAGTATGCAAGTACAATACGTGCAAATCATCAGTGTTACCTAATCAATAGACAGCTAGGCAGCTCAAAACAGAGTCGCTCGTTTAATTTATCGACACTATTCTTTCGAAAGTAGAGTGTCCCACCTTAAAGCTCTTTCCAAACTAACTTCCCTCGATGTCCGTCGCCAACTGTCTCGTATTTCTCTCTTTTCCAAGTTCTATTATAAAATGTCATCGTTCATGCACACCCAGTGCCAGCCTCCCTCATACATTTCCCTGCGTCATGATCACTCCAAAAAGAGTGAATCAATATTCGGTCGCACTAAGTTCTTAGCTCTTGCACACTATTTTACAAACTGGAATTCTCTCTGACAAAGTTGCTACCGATTGTGATCTTTCTGCATTTCGCTAGGAATGCTTAACTCAGCTTTTTTATTCTTTTTCTATGGCTTTGTTCTAGTAGTCTTTATTAAGTACTACGAATCTCAATGTCTAGTTTTCTTCCGCCTGCATAACATAGTTCATATTTACGTGCGAACTAGGGCTGGGCAATTGATCGATTAACCTAACAATTAATCGATTAATGCTTTAATCGCAGTTAATTTTTTTAACCGGTTATTCGGTAAAAAGTTTGACGAACCAGAAGGAAATAAAAATAAATGGTTTCACCACGAAGACCTGAAGGAGAACACCTGCGTGAAGGGCAAACGTTTAGGTACGAATTTAACCTAAAGTAAACTGTAGGGAAAAGATTTGTAGCTCCGGACAAATGCAGAGCGTTACGCGTATCCCGGCCACTTCAGCGCTGTGCGAATGTCCGTTTAGTTCAGCCTGAACACTGAACAATCAAAGGAAGTCGCTCTTGCCGAAGAATATCAACGAAACCCTGTGCCTTATACAGCTGAAGTCATAATCTGTGAGTGTGAGTGTCTTTGAACCTGTCTCAACCACACATCGAGATTGATTCATAATCAAAATTCTATAGTGCAGTGGTCTCAAACTCATTTGACTGTGGGGGCCACATAGCACACACTGAAAAGGTCGAGGGCCAACGCAAGACAAAGGAGGGGGTTCAAAAGATTTCGAAAGAGAAGAGACCTTGTGCTCTATGCTTTTTGTAAACTCACAGTCTTGCCGGCGACATCCCTAGATTTGATTTGTTTATATGACTACTTCGAGCCCTGACCTGATGTGATAGCAAGAATGAAAAAGACACCGCCTCGCCAACATGCTCGCAATTTTTTATAGGGCAAGAGAACAACTACGCTGTCGTTCCCGTTGCTCAAATCACTGAGGAATTAACCAATCTTAACAAGCCTCTAAATACAATAAATTAATTTGGCAGTTCTTGCTCTCCTGACAATTTTTATTGCAACACTGAACAAATACAGGCCTTTAATGGTGATACTCTTTAAAGGCGACATTCCAGAGCTTGTAGCTTCATATTTGGCGGTCGCTCCTGCTGATCGATAGCTCATACGACCGAGATGCGTCATTAAACGAATAGCTCATGGCGCTTGCAGCCCAGTAGCGGAATTGTTGTACATTACAAAAAGCTGGGAAACAAAAACTAAAACGAAACAAAGGGCAAATGTACACAGATAACTATAAACTATGTGAATACGTTAAAAGAGCAGAGCTATAGTTTTATAGCGAAAGTGAATCGAGAATATGAGATCACTACGGCGAATGCCATTCCTAGCGCTTGAGACTTGGAAACCGGGACTTATAGGCCGGGTTGCCTGCAGGCCGTGCCCCAGCGAGTCGTGGGCCGCCTGCGGCCCACGGGTCGCACGCGAGACAAGAGATGGCGCAAGCGGTCGCGACGCCAACTGCCGCCAACGAACGAGCAGACGACGCCGAGAGCCGGCCCTTTAGCAGACAAGGAACTGCAGTTCCTTGCTGTTACCGCGCCTGTCTTTTTTGTTTCTGCGACTGTCGCCGCCTGCGGAACGCGCGCCGCTTTTGAGTCGAAAAGATCGTCTGCTAGAAAGGCCTGCTCTCGGCGCCGTATGCTCGTTCGTTGGCGGCGTTTGTTGCGCGACCTCTTGTGTCCCGTGCGAAACGGCGCCGTCTTGTTTGAAGACCGGTGGCTTCGCTGCGTTTCCATAGGAGCTAATCCTTTTTCTTTCTTTACTTTTTCCTCAGGTAAGTTCGCTCTTTGCAAATTTTACCAAAAAAATGCGCCATCTGTGAGCAGCGCTGCACAAAGTCGTAGCGCGATAGGTCAAGAAACCGAATTTTCCCGTCGATTTAAAGAGCTTGGCGTCTCCTTGTTTCACCCTGTATATATTTGTGAACTTTCTTAGTACATTGCAAAAGTGTTTCAGTCTTTCTTTTTATTCGCAAATCCTCTCATGTAATACATTGCTAGGAAAACAGGCGTAGACTACGGGGTGCATCGAGCCGAGCCCCCCCCCCCCCCCCCCCCCCCCCCCCCCCCCGGGCTATGATCCTTACCAAGACGCTGTTTACGTGAATTACAGCTTCAGAAGTACGGGGGCCTGGGTTGTACCCCCCCCCCCCCCCCTCCCCAACTTCGCAGATGGCACAAGCATGTTTTTTTTTAGTTTTGTGCTCGCCGGCGCGAGCGCCGTGGTACCGGCGAGAAACACACGGCTACGCTTGCACGGTGGTTGACATTGACACACAGCGACGGACACATGGCGATGTACATACGCTGTAAAATGTACCCCCTGAAATAAACTGCAGATGATTGCCGGTGTAAAAAAAATTGCGTGGAGAAGCACACCCCCCCCCCCCCCCCAAAGAACTTCTCAATCTGCCCCCCCCCCCCCTTCCCCCTGGGAAAATGGAAAGTTTACGCCGCTGGCTAGGAATATATTTAAGGGCAATGAACTTGAACATTCTCTATAGCTTTTACAGCGCACTGGAGCGCCACTGCATGCCGTCTTTCCTTACAAAGTTGGATGTTGCGATGACAATGCGCTTTATTCGAAGCGATATTCCCACACCCCTACAAGTTATTTACTGAAATAATCGTCAGTTTTCAATTAGGACTGCAATGGGCACACAGCACATACGTGTTGCCAAGGCTAGTCGAATTAAGACCATCTGCGAAATGGCTGCCTAAGACTTAACCATAATTCTGGAGATTCCATACGAAAATGCGAGCTTTATCAGCTTTGCAGTGAAATATTTACAGAAACAGAAGGATTTGCTTTCGGGGAGGTAACACGTGGGGATCTGTTATGCTCTGGAGTGACTCTTTATCTTGAAGTAACTCCAGAGCAGTGTCGCTGAGAAATGTATACCTACATTATTTTCAGAGACATTTTCAGTCCTTGCGAAACCACGTTTTTAGCGTATACCTGCTGCGCCAAAGGATCGTGTGGGCACAGATGCTCTCGCTTGTACGCAATTTACTACAGAACAGTCAGCACTATTAACTATGCAGTATAGCAAAGGTTGCAGACACCTTGTGCGAAGACTGTGCCGAAATATAACTTTGTAGTACAAACAGTGCTGTCTCGATAGGGCAGGCAAACTATGTAGAGCGTTATGCTGGCAGTAATCGCTACTGGCACCAAAACCATATAACTCTCATCACGCGAAAGAAAGAAAAAAAAGAAAAAAAGGACCGCGGCATTTTAATGTTCCTTTCATCGTGTTCTTTGATTGATTCATTTAACTGAGTCATACAGTGAGTAATTTTTGACATCAGCCGACTACTCAATTGCTTGGCTTATTGTGTTTGAAAAATACATAGTAATGTGTATAAGTATTGTCAATTGGGGTGCCACACTGCTTTTTTTTTTTGCAGTTTTACCCATTACCTGCATAACAATCAGTATTCGAAGCTAAATAAAGCAGATGCCTTATCTGTATTTACATGTCTGAACTTCCCTCGATTAACTGTAAACCCTCTGGTTTATTGGCTTGAGTATAAAATAAGATTAATCGGAATTAGTTTTTACGCTGAAAGTTCTCATTCCTCGATAGTTATACAATTTCCAATGGGCGTGTCGAGTCTGTAGAGGTCCAAGGGTACTCGCCTTGCTGAAGCGTATCTTGGTGGCAGGGTGGTTCTCGAGACCCGTGAGCCGCTTGGAGATGTCGCGGACGCCGCAGTCGGTGTACACAAAGCAAGAACCAGCGGCGTGCGTGTTCACCCGATCGTAGTAGATCTGCGTCGTCGTGTAAGGGTCACCGTTCCGGTACCTGGTCACCTGTACCAAGGACCCAATTATAACAGCGTCAGTATCGGTCACCCGACGCATCTCGCATACCTTGCCATCGACTTATAGTAAATCGGGGATCACAAGGGTAAGTTGTGATAAAGGGTGGCATCAAAGTTCACCGTTTTAAGGAAGGGAGCCACTGACGATGAACTTCGGCGTGTTTGCCGCTGGGCGCGAATCAAGGATCCACTAATGATAACGTCATCCACAGGCCTTGTCTTCTAGTTGGTATTGGCCAGACTCAACTCATGTGTTTTCTAATGCATCGAGGTGTGATAATTTGATGGTCGCTGCTCACTCTTAACGACGAATCTCAGGGAGATTTCACTTGGGCTTCGCTTTTGGTAAACTTTATGAAAGGTCGCGTTGCCGATCCACATGAAGCTTTACACTGGATCCTTTTGCAAGTTCCTCCTCACATTTTTCCTATCCAATAGAACTCCGTGGTATAAACAATGCCGGGCAGTATGAGCATGTATCACTTGGTATTGTTACCCTTCTGCCTTTAACTTAGCCGCGGATGGTAGGGTTCTTAAAAAACAATGCCTTCGTTCGATGCTCAGCGGAGAAGATTCTTCAATTAACGGGTATTCGTCAGCTTCGTTTTTCAATAACCTAACCAGGTCTTGCAGCCTGTCGACTAGCCTGCAGCACAATTATATTGAATCTTCACGCATGGTTTGCCCCAAATGCGCTCCACGTCTCGTTTTTAAACGGAGGTCAAAGATAGGTGTGTATAGTACACCTCACTTTTAGAAACGCCAGGTTCACAGATGCGTCATTGTACCTCCATCCTCATATCATCCGTAATCTTGAATGATAGTCCAGTAGGTGTCCTTCAACATAAAGGTGTCGCCATGGCGACCGATCTATCGCATCTGACCCAACGAAGTGCCATAACGAGAAAGCCGAACGGTCCTAAAGCAAAGAAAACTCGACCTAGGGACCCAATCCCCCTCCTCCAATCTCACCCCGCAGGAAATCTAATGGCCCGGTCCCCGGACTCATCCAATAACCTCCCTCCACCTCATCAGAACGAGGTTGACGGGCCGGAAGCGGATATTAGATCCCGTTAACGGAGAGCCCGGGATGTTTTGATACCGCCTATAAAACAAGGTCAGCGCATGACGGTATCGTTAGCGGATCCCGACCCGACCCGAGGGGCAAACGCGTCGAAGCAGACGACGCGGCAGGCGCGTCCATCTTGGCGTCACCGCGTGCTCACGTCGCGCTCGTTGTGAGATGCTGCAAGATGCTCTGTCGACGAGGTTCACGCAAGGTGGATGTCGCTGCGTGGATCCACTAATGTCTAAAAAACAAGGGCGAAGGCCTTGTTAACGAAGGCCTTGTTTTTTATAGGTGGCATCTTCCCCTTGTTTTTTATAGGTGGCATTGTATGAAGGCAGTCAGAGAGGCTATGCAAGGCAATGGGACAAGGCGGGACGGGGACATCGCCGCTTGCTGTCGTGTTCCGGTCCTTTTGTCCCGCCTCGTCCCGCCATCTTGCATAGCTCCCTCAGGATCTTGGGAACCGTCTGGTGCAGTGCGGGAAGCAGCGGGGAATAGCCTACTATCTTGGCAGTGCGTTATATTCGATAAGGGGCCTTAATTACCTGCTCTATAATGACGCAGATTCAAACCCGATAGCCCCTGGACGTCACAGGGGCCACGCATTCTGCCGTGACGTGAGGATTCTGGTGAAAACGATGGTGTCATAACGTGTACAAAAAACACAGAGGCAGTCATTTGCATAGCCAGTGATAGCCTGGGAAGGGCGTGGAGAGCATCTTATTATCGCTCCGTTGAGATTAGCAGACAGGAACCAAGGACAAATCACCAAGCATGGAATGTAAATATAACAAGCGCTGCGTTTCTTAGGAAGTGACTATGGCGCACTCAGGCAAACATGCGGAGTCATTGGGCTGTCGGCGCATGGGCGGCGTCTGGTGTACTTTACAGAAAAGAGTTACTCAGCATGCTCAGACCTCAGTCCACAGCCCATGGTAGACAAAGATGGCAGCTGGTAGAATGCGATTAATGGAATAATCTATAACCGATTGCAAGAACCAGCGCGAGCTTGCAGCTTTTGATAACGTTTCCCCGCACATGCATCCAGAACTCGGCGGAAAGCAACGAGCGTGGGTTGGAGGCGGAGTTCTTCACCAGTCACCGACTACAGTCCACCTTTTGGTGCGGTTGCCCGAGTTGTGCGACTACAGTCGCACCACTCGGGCAACCGTGTGTACGCAGTCTCGATGCCCAAACGTCTGTAAAGATTTCAAGATCGGCAACAAAACACACACACGAACACACGCACATACACGCACACACGAACACACGCACGCGCACACACACGCACATAGAGGCCCGTGTGTACAGAAGGATCTATATGGACGTACCAGCCTGGTGCGTCTCACGTAGTGATAGCAGACGGCCTTCCACCAGATGATGGGCTGTGCCTCCCGCATCTGCTCCACCAGATCATAGACGGCGCTGGCGTCCACCCTGCGCACAGGTCGGGGTGTCGCCCTGCAACGCGCCGTATACCATGCGTTTCCTGCCCGCTCCAGGAGCCGCCATCTTTGCAACAACCAATGTCATATAATATACTAATAGCGAATTCCACGGGCGTTTTGGAGCGCGTCGGGATCAGTTGACCAGATCCGGACTGGAGCATACGATCCGAACGGGGTCGCGCCGCCTACGGATCCCCAGTGGAACATGACCGCTGCTCGGGGTCGGCGGATGCCTTCCCGTCATTCAACTGCCCGGGAATCCCCTTTCCGCGGCCGCCGCGGTCGTTTCGAAGACGTTTTCGCAATCGCGGTTCTAACACGTGTTCGACGCACGAGCGGCAGGAATGGCTCAGGCGCTTCTAGCAAAGATTGCCGGAATGTCCATAGAGCGGCAAATACCTTCTCTTCTCCTTCCTGGAAAACGAACCGGCTGTCGAGCCAAGGGGTAAGCAAGCGGCCATTACGAATTCTTCTGATGTCGAGACAATCTAGGAGCCCAGCCCGCGACGTGCTTCTTCTTCTTCTGAGGGGAGATGGGCGAGATCAGGCGCGATGCCCCACGAGAAAGGAAGTCACGTGTGTGCGCCGAGGGCTGGCCCGGATGGCATCCGGTTGAATCCGCCGAAATCGTGGGAGCGACTTTTCTCGGATCCAGATCGAGATCTGGAGCGAGAGCGAATCCAAAACGACCAGTAAACACGTTGGTCTCGATTCCGATCGCCCAGTGAAATAGGCTCGCTCCAGGAAAGTCGAACCCGGCGCGCTTCAAAACGACCGGTGGAATTCGCCATAAATCATTGCAGATTCAGAAAGTGTAATCCTGAGAATAGTGAACTAACTTGCATCAAACGTCTTAATGGGATCATGGCGCGGATATATTTTTCTCGCAGATTTAGTTTTACGATGAACAAAATTCTACAATTAGTAGCATAATAAGGCTTCATGATCATCCGGGCTCTTCCCCCTCCTGTTTTTTTTGTTTTTTTATTCCACCGCCTTCGTTTTTCAATCTTGCATATGGTAGATTCACTTGTTTTCCCACAAACCTTTTTTATTATTATTGAGCCATTTCAAGTGAGTCTAATGTCCCCACTTATTTAAATCCGTAATTCTATACAAAGAACGAGCTCACCGGTACCATGCATCAAGTCCCAGCAGATGTGCCCATGTCGACCATCAAAAATAAAATTATATTCTTCGGAACTTAAAATGAATAAAATATTGAATGAATGAATGACATTTTCAGTTTCTCCAAATAAAATAATAATAAAAATTAACACGTAGACATTTGCTAGCTGCGTGGATATTTCTTTTCCTGTGTGACCTTTCTTTCAAGGCTGCACGCTGAAAAAAGGAGGCTACTGTATTATTTTTATTTCTTTATACCGGCAACAGTATGAAAGGGAACAGTTAATGGTTCTTCTTTCCAGTTCCACGGTTTCCAGAACCTTCGTTACACTTCAACCTGTCAAACAGTGTGTAGCTTGGGATCTTAACTTTCCATTCTAGCCCTACTCGGGACAACAACGTGTTCAAAAAATTGTAAGTACGTCCAAAAGCAAGGAAGTCTGTTTCCTTTCATATTGTTGCCTATAGTACCTCAGACAGAAAAAAAAAAGGCTCGATGTATACCTCAGCACTTTTTATGAGCTGTTAATGCGAAAGCATGAATGTCGTTCTTGCGCGCGGCCTTATAAAGTGGCCGCGCTGCGCTGACATTCGCCGTGTCGCCGCTCTCTAGAGCGGCGACACGGCCGAGTCTTTTCCCGCACGCTGGCGGTCTTCCCGAGCTGCCAGCCGATTCCTTGCGTTGGTGCGCTGCCGGCGCGAGCAGGCAGCGCCATGGGGTGGCCCTCCTTGAAACTGACGCGCAGTTGCCAATGGGAGCCTCGTTCCATGAAACCATGACGCGCGCCTGCCAATGGGACAGAAGCCGAAATCCATCAGATTTCGGCTTCACTGCACTCCATTTAGAACGGGGTAGCTAAGTGCCGTTTGGCTAGGCTTTTCGTATGGTTTCATAACTGGGAGCCATCAGATCGCGGCTTCACCTCCACATAGAGAAAGAAGTTTAGGTGTCGTTTGACGCGGCTTCGAAGCTGAGGACGTCGGCTCGCTTTATGGGACAGTTAATTAATGCTTTCACATTAAAAGCGGGGAGGGGGGGGGAGGGGGTTGCAGCGGGTGTACAGACGAGCGCACCTGTAGGCGAGCTGCAGACGCGTGCTGCAGTGCCAGCACTCGACCAGGTACACGAGGTAGAGCATGGAGAGCAGGGCGAGGGGCACGTAGACGTAGCCGTCGTCGCAAGGGCTCACGCGGGTCTCGCTGCGCATCGGGATCGTGTGGTAGTTGATGACGAAGCGTTTCACCTCGGACAGCCGGCACCAGGCCACGGCCCCGAGGCAGGCCGCCATGAGCAGCGTGAGCAGCAGGCACTTGGCCTGCGCGTTGCGCCGGAGGCTCTGCCACACCGAGCCGCGCTCGGGCTCCTGGGGCTCCTGCAAGAAAGGCGCGGGAGAGTGAGGCGGTGGAGGGAGGTCTGTTTGCAAATCCACAGCTCAGCACGTGCATGCTCGTCTCTTTGGAGAGTGAACAATGCACGCGCCATACGCACGAACGCTCACAGAGGTATTGACCAGAAGCCCTTTTCTGCAATGGTTCACACTCCGGTCCACTACTGTGCCTTGAACACGTCTCCTACTGTTGTGTGTATCGGCGGATCGCGTCTTCATTTCTGGTGCCTCAATTTCGGCCTGATGACGTCAAAAAAGAGACTCGCTGTTGCCTACCGCCATTCTGGCGGTGGCACAGCAGCACAGGAGGTCGCAACAGACGCCTGTTCTGCCGCAGGTCGCTCTCCGTGTTGGCCAGTCGATGGAAGCCGTAGAAGTCAGGAGTTTGAAAGCTGTGTCAACAGTCAAACTCGTATTCGCTCGTGCTTTCTGCTGGACCTTCTATTACCAACCTCCAACATCCCACGTGATATCCGACAGCAGGAGACACCGGTTCCTGCAACATTGCCACAACCACTTCAGTACCACTACCGATACATGGGCAGAACGCTAAGCACAACAGTCCAAGACGTGCTACACGCACAATTGTGACGTTGCATATGATTCGTGACGTTCCATTTCTTTTCATAATCCCCCACAGAAAAGAAGAAACAAAATATTCTACGCCAAGAAAACGGGCCGCATGTCCGTACGGGTTCTTCCCGGGTCGGCGGCCAGGTGGAGCTTTCGTCGGCGTCCGGGCTGGACGGCTCGGTATCCGCTTGCGTGTCCCGACCGTCGGCGTCCCTTGCCAGCGTCCCCTGCCCGGCCAGGAGGCGGGCCGGACTGCTCGTGGGCTCCCTGCGCGACGCCCAGCGAGAGAACCAGGCTCCGGTTCCCAGCATGCTCTTCATCGGGGTCCTCGACTCAGCGGTCGGGGGAAGCCCCGCCTGCAAAGGGAACATTCATTCGAGTGTCATTAAAGCCGTGAGGTAACTGCAGTTAAATGTTTTAAGGCATGAGGCGCTTTCCAACGGAACCCCCTAATTTCAAAATTTTGTCCATCCGTTATTTTGTCCATGCAATTCTTGATAAATTTAGCGGGTAAATTGATGTCACGTGATCTAGGCCGGCTTGCTACACTCTAAAAAAAAGTCCGTTCTCCAAAAGTCTTTGGCGACCCAAGAACTCTTTCACATTGTGAAGAACGGTTTCGCCTCAAGCACTATCGCCCCCTGGCGCACTAGAAACGCAACATGGGCAATGAAGAACTCTTTCGCATAAAAAAAGAAGCTTAAAAGAACCGCTATAGTTTTTTTTTCCTTTACAAAGAACCCTCTTAGGGGATACTTAAAAGAACTTTGAGGCGTGCAAAATATGGACAAGCCGAAGAACCTTTAAGAGTCCTTTTACGACCAGATTTTTTTTTAGAGTCTAAAATCAGCTTTTTGGCTACAACTGTGTGAAAGAAAGCACTGCCGAAGCCAGCGCACGAGCGGAGTGGCAAGTGCTCGAAGTAGTGGTGCAAAAGTATCGATATTACTGTCAATCATATCTATAGTAAAAGCCAAATTTAACAATGGCTAGTGAAAAAAAAAAAACTATCGATAGTTTTTTTATGGTAAAATTAATAGTACAATCAATAATACTATCGATATCATACTATAACGACTATCGTGAAATTGCTCATAGTCGAATACCAAGAAAGTATCAATAGCCGACTATCGTAAAGCTACCGATACTCTTTCATTAAGTGACGAAGAACGTTATGTGTCCATCCAGGAGATGTCGTGTAGCCCGGACGCAACTGCAATTAGGGACTTACGCGTGATTATTGAGGAACAATCTAATACCCCTAGTAAAACAATCAGAAAACGGCAGAAATCCCCCTTAGAAACTATAGACAATGTACTATAAACATTACATCGATTGTGTACTATTGAAAAACTATGAAATAAAGATATCAACTCGATAGGTTGTCGCAGTTCCTTCTTGCTGTTTTAGATTGCCTTCCGGGGTGTGCTTTTCAATTTTTATAGGCAGAGTTCAATCAGAAAAATTCAAATCCCTGCCACCGGTGATAAATGAACTACGCGTTGCGTAAATACGGTACCCTGCTTGAATATGATGGCAGCGATGGTGATCGAATGAGCAAGTACGGGGACATTACTTTGCGCGGATGAAAAGATAAGCTTGGAATTTTTTTTCGAACCAAACAGGTTGCTAGAAAAAAAAGGAAACAATATTGCCCCCATAATAAGAATAATAAGAACCTTGAGACGAGGAACAGAAGGGACAAGAAAAAAAAAACCGTCTCATAACCAGCGCAAAAATGATTTAATTAATGATCAGATTCTTTCCTCATTCCATCTCTTTTACAATTCAAAGGCCCTGAAAGAAAGCTATGGTGTCAGCGTTGTTTTTAAAAATGACTTCAAATTAAGTAAGTTAACTCCTTTTTCGATGGGAAGCTAGGTTGCCAGAAAAAACCATAGAGAACCAGTAACTATAGTTGCGAGATGACTGTAGTGTACGAGATTTCATTGGCTTCTGGGTTCTCGTGTGTTGGCCAGACCGGATGCTGGCTAAATGACCGGATTCTAGAACATAAAAGAGCGGTTAATTCAAGTTCCGTCAATTCTGAAATTGTTAAACACCTAGGCCTCTGTAAAAAAAAAAAAAAAAAAACTGTCAATAGTATCAATAGTAAATTTTTCCATAGTTTTGCATCACTAGCACCAAGTCGAGTTTCAAGCACTCGTTTGTCCTAAGCTTGGCAGGGTTTCTTTAACACAGTCTAAGTTAAGACGCCGATACTAGCAAGCCGGTTCCTACGTCATGTGATCTATACATTACTTCAGGCTTACCGGAGATAGACGAAACGTCACCTGACGTCATGAGACCTATAGACGTATTAAATTTTTCCTCAAATTTCAGTTTCAAAATTGACGTTACGGGACCAATGCACATATTTAGTTTCCCCGCTAAATTTAAAAAGAAAAAATATTTAAAAAAATATTTTATGAAAATAAGCATTTTTTGCATTATAGGACTTCGGAGACAAACGTTTTGTTATTTTTCTTCGGTTGCTGCAATTAGTTTCAGCGGCAGTAAGTGAATGGTTCTAAAATTTGAGATAAATCAGTTTCGTTAAAAGTTTGAATTCCAACGAAATTTTGCTATTCCAATGTTGTTGTAATAAAACGTTGCCGTAATTTATAACAATATAGTAACTGTATCATAGGTCCATTTTCGAGCAACGAGAATCTTTACATATACGCAAATCTACACTGATTTAGTATCCTTTTTAGTACCAGCTGTAATCACTGCTCATAAATTCTGTTACGAGTGTAGTGCTGGAAAGGACGTGGCTGTTCCAATATCATTTTCCGTGTAGGAAATCAAACCGTAGGTCAGTAAGAGCAGCACACTTCGACGTCGTGCAATATTAAAAAAAAAAAATGAAACCCACCTCAATTAACGATAAGGGCAACGTAATTACTTTCCAAGGGTGACTTTCACAGCTGAGCGCGCTACTCCACCTGAAATTGTGTGGATTATTTTGATTACAACTAAATCCACGACTATTCATAAATCCACTGTTTATAAGTCTACAGCCCTGCGTGTGACTTTTACAGCCTGTTCGTCACTTCAGAAGGTGGAAAATCACCTCCCCTACGTATCAATACCACATGTGATATTAGTCAGACACCTGAAGATGGGGCACAGCCCTAACTTCGGTGATTATCGTGAAACACCAAACTACGCATAATTATAACCTGAACCCCCCCCCCCCCTTCCTTTTTTTTTACCTCATTTCACAGATATCATACACGTGATCTGTGATAGCGTACAAACTTTTTGTGATTTATTTATGATTTCAGTATTAAAATCTCCGTCTCAGGACCAGTAAAGGGAGTTTGCTCAAAATATATTTCTTTTAATGTTTTTTTTGTTCTTCCTGCAATATAATCAACCAGAAAAGTTTCCTGGCTAACCTCTTCTTTGTTTTTCATTATTATTACTGAAATAATAAAAATGATCGGTATCGAAATCCTCACTGAATGAGTGAGAATAAAAACGAGACTTGGCGAAGTGCGTGAATTGGTTTGAATTGAAATTTATTTGGATTTTCCCAGTTCAAGCCCGGTAGGGAGATAGAGACAAAAGGCATCTCTGCCCGAATAAAGCCTCTACTACTCCGTACTTGCGGAAAGTAATTACATAAAATTATTAAAAAAAGAAGTACAGGTACGAAAAACAGCAGCTGGCCTATTCATGCTTAGTTAATATGCACACTAAAAAAAATATTAAAAAATACTTGGCAAAATGTCATCGGGGCTTTTTTGCATGTTTAAAAAGCACTACACAAACGATTAATTACATAATCATCGGGAATAGAAAGTTATGTTCGAGTGATAGTTTCTACATTCATGATATTTTACTCATCACAAAGGCACAAACAAAAACCACTGGACGCAATACTGCTGCACACACAGAAAAAATACTCTTTAGATACGCTAACCCAAAAACAAACAATAAAAAAATAGTATGTCCAATGGCTGAGCAATTGGCTTGCATACGTGAAGCGCTCTAACGTCACGTGACATGAGGTCACGTGACGTCGACTTCCCCGCTAGATCTAGCGGGGAAACTGAATTGGTGTGTAGGTCACGTGACATAACCTTTTTCGCTAAATTTAGCGGGGAAATTGATGCCACGTTACCTGACGTCACCTGACCCACTCACCAATTCAACTTCCTCGCTAAATTTAGCGCAGAAACTTTAATTTGGTTTGTAGGTCTGTCACGTCCCATGATGCAACACTGCGCTCGTTGCATTATGGGGCGTTAAAGACCTATGCGCCACATCAACTTCTCCGCTAAATTTAGCGGAGAAACTGAATTTGTGTAGAAGAACCGGAATTAGTGCGTAGGTCTGTCACGTCGCATAATGCAACACTGCGTGCGTTGCATTTGGGGATGCCACAGGCCACGGCTTCACTAAATCCGAAGCAAATAGCCAAAGAACGCTTCACGCCAAAATAAAGCTGTAAAATAAAAAAAAGAATAAAAAACTTATTGCAGTTCCAAAGTATTTGGCATATGTTCATTGTAAATCTCTGAAATCACGAGAGTTCGAAATTCTGCGCAAGACTTATCTTGTTGTAAATGTGACAGATTTCGGGTTCAAACGCTTTGTACACGTGCCAGATTACAGCCTTCTCTTGTCTTACTGAGATACCGAGCCACTGGAAACGAGCGTTGACGAGCCTCCACAAAAGCCAATGTTTGGGGGGAAGGACACAGTAGAATCTAAAACGGCAATTACCTGCCCTGCTACGGTAATGATGAAGTCAAGTAAACGGAATAAGAGGAAACAAAAACTCAAGGTCGGTTATGGCGGCGCCCATGCACAGTTGTTGCAGAGCGTGTACACGGGGTGTGAACGAAATACACTTTCAGTAGCTACTCAGCGCTATGTATACTCTCTCGTCTTTACTTCGTCCGTGTCCCGCTGCGCTGTTTTACCCCGAAATGTTCATCAACAAACTAGCCAAAATAAACCTTTTAAAAAGCTTCATAAATGTTAAAATAATTCATATTAAAAAAAAATCAAAATTATAGTTGGCTTCCACAAATATTTTTT